AATCAATGATGAACTATTATCTCAAGTCGATAACTGCAAATCATGACTTACATTATCAATTGATATCAATTTGTTCGAATCGAGCCATAATTCTTGTAATGATGGAAGGTTCGTTAAAACATTAGGCTAGAATAGATATGCTATCGAAGAAAATCCTCTCAGTCATGTTTCTGTTGCTTACAAATTCAATGAAAGAATTAGCACCTAAATCTAATCGTTCGAGTTTGGTTAGTTTTGGTAATGTGACAGGTAATAATCGCATTCGTGTCGCACGCATTTCTAAGATCTTCAATTCCGTTAAACTAAAATTAGCGAAACTAGTCGTATCGTAGGATTTTCGATAGAATCTTACCGTCCAAAGTTACCAGGTAAGAATTCTAATAGAGTGTCATTAAGATACAATTCGTGTAAATTCACCAGCATCGTCAATCCTTCACATAATCTAAAACAATGAATATCTTCGTTCTTGTTGACATAAACAAAGTGTATACACACCTTTCTAATCTATTCGAACTACAATCAACGGATGTTAATTGTTTACAATAACGAATATTATCAGGTAGTGCTGTTAAATCTAAACAAACAAGGAATTTCATTGTAATGAAACCTAGAATGTGATTTTCATACCGTTTCGACTTAAATCTAACCGTTCTAGACTTGTCAAACTGGAAATCGATGGTGGTAAACAATCCAGTTCGTTATCTGATAAAATCAAATGACGCAAAGCGTGACATTGAAAAAGCCACTGAAAGAAAAACATTGATCGACAATAAGAAATATTCAATTTTCTTACTTTGGGCAGTTCTTGAAGGCAGTTAGCTTCTAAATGAAGTTCTTCTAACGTATTTTCATATTGGAGGATATCTTCTGGCACGCAAGATAAATTTCCATGGCTATAATCAACAGTAGTTATATCATCGCGTCGTTTGCGACTACTATTACATTTATGTAACAGAGCCAAACTAGAAGTAAATTGTGGTAAGACGGTCAGGGAGTGAATTATTCATTGGAACTCACCGAACTTTCTTGGCAACTGATGATGGAAAGGTGAGCGGCATTGACAATGTAAAGAAATGCAATTGAATACAAACTCTTCCTTTTCTTTCTTTCTTTCCTTCTCTTTATCGTCAATGGACATCGGCGTAGAGGAATAGCGATATAAGAGATTCATACAGCGCCATCTATTTGAAATCAAGTTGATCATTTAGAAGCATATATGCGACAGTATTGACGCTGTTATTGAAAAACTATGAACATAGTACTATGACTTAGCAGTCGAAAACTTACCTTTGACTTGTTCAAATGATAATAAGTTTGAGTGTGTTCTTATGGTTTCATATTCGATTGCTTTTGAACTACGGAAACGAAGGTCGTCCCTGGCAAAGCTGTTTTGCAAATGATCTGTACACATTTCGCTATGTAGAGAAAGAATCAACCGTGTTACTTATACAGTGGTTTGTCCGACTAGTTTGAATTCATGAACCAATGATAGAAAATGAGTAAATAAGAAAAACTGCCATAGAAATTGTAAGGGCGGATTTTTTGTATCAGATGATGATTGTCGTGAGTGTATTTATTGGAATGAAGAATGGAATGAACTTATAGAATTATTATTGATACTGTGAAGTCAAAGGAGAACAGGTTTACAAAGCAAATCTCAAACATGGATTATACTCACAATTTGATATGCTCTGTGAAGAGTCATATACTAAGTAAAGAGATTAGATTAGATAGTTATGATAACGATTATAGTTGGATTGTCATATGCGTGAGATTGATGTGTACGATTTCTATCTCTGATCAATAATAGTCTTTATTCGAAAAAGAATATGAAAGATGCGATCTAAAGGTAACATAATCTCATGTGTGAATAATTGATTGAGATCTTCATCAAAAATTAACTTAACGCTTTGAAGCAAACAGAAAATATAGATTATGAACATATATGCCTGGTGTCAATGAATCGAGGGTGAATTTAAGAAAAACACGTGAATATGAGTTTAAAGAGGAAGATTGACAACGACAACACTCCATGGAGGAACTGTTATTGAAAATTTGCCACCTGTTGCCCATATTAACTTTGTAATGATCGATACAGCATTAGGATTATAAATGGTATTACTCAATGTTGACGGATCAACACCTGGCCCACCAGCCAGAATATACATGACACCTTCGGATGATGCTAATGAATCTTGAATTTGTACGTTAACAAGAGTATCATTTCGATCTACAGAAACTAATTTGACAATTAATGTATTGCTATCGGTACGTTTTGATGCAGTAAAATAAAGATTACCAAGTTTGCCATCTCCTTCTCCACCTTTTTGTACTGATTCATGAGTCATAATACTGTTGGTAGCAGTAGAATTAAGAATTATGTTGCCAAGATTAGCGCCGAACATTTGTTGAGCTAAATAGGAAGTTGATTTTACTACTAGATTAGCATTGAAAGGAATTAGATTTGGTGTCCATTGTGTAGCTTTAACATTTTGAAGAACTGGTGCATAACAGCCTCCAATGATAACGTCGGAATTACGTTCAAATCCAATGCGATAAATTGACTCGGCAACAGCACCCGCCAGCGTTGGATACGGGAGTGAATTCGAATCACGGGCGTTTATTGTTGAAAATTCTCCAACAAGAACTTTGGGCTTCGGTCGAGGAATATTTTCATACCGACGAAAATTGTTAATGAAAAACTGTGGAGGTTGATAGTCATGATCATCTACAGCTGGTGGAGATGGAATCGAAGAAGTTGTTGTGGCAATAAAAGTAATATTTGGATATCGTTGAGAAAGAGCATTATGAAAAGCTGGCCACCGATAACTATATGTACTTGTAGCAACGAAGTCTTCATTACCTATTTCGACGTATTTGATATCGAAGGGTTCACTACGACCTAAATGTTTGCGTAGGGCGCCCATTCTACTAGCATCAGCAGGTGCAGTTATAAAGTCGATTTCATCGATGACTTCATCAATATATGGTTGAAGTTGATCCTGAGGTACTGCTTTTCGATCTAATGAATATCCAGCATAAACAGCAAGTACAGGTGTTGCACCAATATCTTCAACAAAAGTTAATAGTTCTATGATTCCTAAACCTTCTGTGTTATATCCCACCCATGTTCCTCTTCGACCAGGACGATTTTGAAGAGGACCAATTGTATTATTCCAAATAAAACGTTCTGGAATAGTTGGACCTTCAAGATCATTACCACCTGGAAGTCGAACAAAACCGGGTTTAAGATCGGCAAAAGCTTGTGCAATATCAATGCGAACACCGTTCGTTCGATTTTTAAAAGTAGCAGGAAAACAGGATATCAGGTTAAATTCAAAATCACCTCGAGAGTTTGGAGGGAATGCAACGAAGAAAACGTTTTGGGTGGATTGTGCAGCGTCAAAAACAGAAATAGTAGCAGAGAAATTCGACCAAACACTGACGGGAGCATTGTATACATCAATTGTGGCTGCACCATATATGTTCGAACCATCTAAATTGCTCAATCCAATTGTCAACTTTCCACCTTCTATATACGCGCTTGTGGACGGTCGATAATAAAAACTTGCTGTATAATTTTGAGGTTGAATGCTTATGCCATAATAGCCACCATTTTTGAAACCAGATGGAGTAGTTGACGTTTCGTTAAGTGTGAATTTCATTTGCACTGGTAAAGCACTGGACAATGATTGATTGTTACTAAGAGTAATAGATCCTTCTCCAAATCTTAACCATCCATCCAATGACCGACCATTTTCTAAATTAGACAAAGATGTTATCCTATAGTTTATGCATACGAATTTCAAAAAGATTTAACCTTGAAATGCTCGATTGTAGATAAGTTCAGCGTATAAACCACCATCATCGCCTCTATTTATATTTGTTTCTAAAATAACGCCATGCATTGTGGGTGGAATAGCCTGACCGTTATTGGCATTTTGAATATTGAGTGACACAACATTAGTATTGTTTTCAGTCACGACAGGAGATCCAAATGTTATTGTTATAGAAAACAAAATAACAAAACCAAAAACTGGTGGAAACATCTAAGTAACGTATGAATTAACAAGACTTATTTCAAGGTAAGAAAAAATGATAAGTTTCTATATTACCTGCTTCTCTGTGAGCATGATTGCAGAGAAAAATGATATAAAAGTGTAACTATATCTATTCAGTAAACTATAAGATAAGATATCACGGTGAAGACGTAAATAGAAAGTTTTTAAAAAAGGTACAGATGTCCTGAGGAACGATAAACTATTGCGAAAAAAAGTTTCGCAAGACTTTTCACGACATTTATTATTATTTATATAAATGTGAATATTAAAGAGATTGAGAAAGTCTCGGGCGATCAACCTGATGTTTAGATTCCGTTCGAAAGTTGTCGAATTTTCTTGAAAGTTGTTGAAGATCCTTGGATGAACAAGATTCGAAAAGGAATAAAGATGTATTATACAAATCCTCGATCTTCCAGTAGACTCAAGTCCAATAGTGCACAGTACTTTATCTAAGTTTTTGTTCCGAATGGGCAAGTATAACTTTCGAAAACACTCGCGTATATAAAAAAAAGTTTTACCATATATTGTCAAACCGAGTTATGTAACATTAGGTCGGTTGACTTAAACAAATGTAAATAAGTTGTCGTCATCCAATGGAAGGTATCATTTTCTTATACCCGTAACCCCACTGCATTTAGATAAGAGGAAGCTAACGTCTATTTCAAAATTCAATTTGAAATATTAAAAAACATAGACTCTCAATGACTGGCCTCTCGGTGATTAGTCGGTATCCTCTCCATATCTTATAGGCCTAGGCTACCAACATGGAAAGTTCGGCGGCAATAATTAATACAGGACGTGAACACATAGTGAACTAGCGCAAAATCATGCAACTTTATATACGTATAAGGATCCGAGCAGATTCCAACGGAATTCAGCATTAATACAACCGATCCGGCTCATCTTCGAACTCGGTTGAAATATTGATAAGATGATTCTATGTCGAAAATTTCAGCTCAATCGGAATCTTCTATCGAAAGTTATCGAGTAAACGGACGGACACACTGACCGATTTTTATTAGTGTACTCACTTTTCGAGTACACAAGAAGATGCCTAAACACACCTCTTGCCCAATACAAAATACGTTTATCAGCAATGAAACTTTTATCTCCTTTCTATTCTTCGGTTTATGTCTTTGGCGTTCTTTATTCAGATAGTTAACACACTGTTTACAGTATTTATACGCGATATCGCAGATAAGAAGCAACAGTGGTTTCGTTGGTAATAATTAAAAAAAGAACACTATTAAAACTGACAACTTTTCGTATTTATTTTAGTCGACATTTTGGAGAGAATCTAATAATAGCAATGATATTGGCTAAAACAATATTTGTGATTACTATTTTCGTAGTAATTTTTTCAATATCGAATGCAGATTTTCTATACAATGTAAGCAAAGTAAATGGATTGGGAAGAACTTTAGATGGTGTTGGTGGGTTGAGTGGAGGTGGTTGTGTTACACGTTTACTTCAAGACTATGGCATCAGATCGTATAGTGAAATAATGGATTACTTATTTTTGCCAGGTTTTGGTGCTTCGTTACACATACTGAAAGTTGAGATTGGTGGTGACGTACAATCAACTGATGGAACAGAGCCGTCTCACATGCACACAGCTGATGATGAAAACTACGAACGAGGCTATGAATGGATGACGATGGTCGAAGCAAAACGAAGAAATCCAAACATCATCTTATATGCTTTAAGTTGGGGATTTCCTAGTTGGGTCGGTGAAGGAACGAAATCTCCTTGGACTAATAGTACTGTCAGATATACTATGAATTGGCTTTTAGGTGCTAAGAAATATTACAGCCTCGATATTGATTATATCGGAATTTGGAATGAACGTAATTGGGACAAAGGATATACACTTACACTCAAAGCAGCAATCGCTGCAGCTGGGCTGAAAACAAAGATTGTCGGTCATGATTCATGGTGGGATTTTTGTAAGACGTTAGCTAGAGATCCTGAATGGTCAGCTGCTGTTGATGTTATTGGAGCGCACTATGTTGGTTCATCTATACCACAAGAATGTGCTGCTCTTAACAAAATTCAATGGTCAAGTGAAGATATGTCACTTGGTTATGACACGGGTTCTCTATGTTGGGCAAGATCATTGAATCAAAATTATGTTCGTGCGAATTTAACTGCAACTATTGCTTGGGATTTACTTAATTCATTTTACGATGGATTACCATGGAGTGGAGTTGGAATATTACGTGCTAATGAACCATGGTCAGGACACTATCAAATTGGACGACTGTTATGGGTAACTGCACATTGGGGACAGTTTACAAAAGTTGGATGGTCATTTTTACGACATGGATCAGGTGTTGGATTATTAGATAATGGTGGTAGTTATGTATCATTGACCGATCCAAATGGCCAACAATTGACTATGATCATCGAAACAATGGACCGTGATAGTTCACAATGTGCACATTCCAGCACAGTATACTATACAACAACTAATCAAACAGCGACTTTCCAACTCGACAATTCTTTTAGTCACATTACTCAATTATATGTGTTTTTTACGGATCTTAATATATTGGACGTAAATCAAGCTTTCACTTATAAAGGAATAATTACTTTGAATGATGGAAAATTTACACTTCAGTTACCAGTTGGTGTCCTTTATACTATTTCAACAATTAACGGTACAAAAGGTACATACGAAGCTCCACCTTCTCAACCATTTCCACTACCGTATGCTGATGATTTTGATAAATATCGAATATCCAGTGAAGCAGCATATTTTTCTGATCAAACTGGTTCATGGGAAATCGTCGATACAGCGACTGTCCGTGGCAAAGTTATGAGGCAGATGGTACCTGAAACAACTATTAATTGGTGTGATGAAGCACAATATCCATATTCTATTATTGGCAATTTCACTTGGAAACAACCTTTGAACGTTACTGTAGACGTTATGATTGAGAAGAGTGGAACAGCATTCGTTGCACTAGGTGTTTCACAAGGAGGTTGTGGCACGGGAAGTCGTGGTATTGTATTCAGCGTCAACACAACTAACAAAGGATCTTGGCAGATAACCGAAAGTACAAAGCTTACAAATCCAGTTGCTTCTGATAGTTACTCCATTGTAGCTGGCACTTGGTATACATTGACACTTGTCGTTCTACAAGATCATTCAATAGGATATATTAATGGTAATGCAGTCGGTCGATGTGAATTGAGTGCATCTAGCTATTCAGGATGGGCTGCAATCGGATCATCTTATGACTACGTTCAATTTGATAATTTTCGTCTACAGTCACCGAACTATATACTATGAATATCGATTAATAAGACTTCCTTGACAAATTTTCATTTATTTTGCTATTTCTTTATCATTATTTCGGCAATAAAAACTATCATACTCTTAGATAAATCTCATCGATATTCAGTATTTTATCCAGATGATAGATGCGATAGACGTCGCCCGCTGGGAAATGTGAAATTCTCGTGTCAAAGGAATTGACGCTTCCGTTCATATTATCGTATAATACTTTCATTTTACTTTTTCATTGATCACTCACGCATAGTGTGTGTTTTTTTCATGAGAAAATAACAGAACAGTCGAATATGAATGTTACACATGAGTGTTAAACTCGAAGCTTGAACACAACTATCTGTTCAAGTATTCGTGCTGTGGATGGAGTCTATGCATGTATGTGAGTATCGAGATGGGAAAGATATCCTGACATATTACTATGCAGCACCTCATATAATGCCCCGTCTGCACTTCTCGCACATCCATATCCACATATACGCCCTCGCTCATATTCACACGCTCAGATTCTGTCAGATCCAGGTCAAGTCGAGTCAAACCTTGTCAAATCCAAATCCAATTGTAGAGTTGGATGTCGATTTGACTGGAATTGAATTTGGTGCACCCTTAATTCGTACTCGCGTGTTCGACCAGTGGCAGTGCTACGGGAAGGCCCAGTCAGTGGAAACAAGGACATCCTGAACAGATGGAAACATTTCTAGGATAACTATGTGCAGTTGAAACGAAACGGTAAGCAGTATGCTGTACATTTCAAGCAGAATTCTGTAAAGTTTAAACAGTGTGCTTTGGGCGTAAGTATGTATGAGACACTTATATATCAGCTTTTATTGCTGTAAAGTAGAATTTTAACAAAGTATATGCGATGTGAGTTTCAGCATGTGTTTATTTATGAATAAAAAAGTCAGAGATATGAAAGTTTGAATTCTGCTTGGTAAGTATTCTGTAACTGCTGTCTTCATCAAATCCTTTTAAAAAGCTATCAAGCTTGATGCGGTTTTTCCAAACGTATATTTTAAGCTTAATGTGAATTTCTAACATTTAGTCGGTCGTTCACTCACCGCTAGCTGTTACTCCATAATCGATTTTCATGACATCTTCCTATTGCGTGTGTCTACAACAGCAATTATCGAAATGGTTCATAACTATGTGATGTAGAGTGCATATTTGATTGTTCAAGAAAAACCTAACCTCAGATTTGAACTCTTTGACATCGATTACCCTTCAGCCAGATGTAAGATATCTTGGACATGGATTCGACCTTTTCTTGAACGGATTTGCACACGAGTGTATTCCGGTTCTGATTATATTTGTTCGAGGTGGAACTCAGTGAGCTCTATCGATTCCAGCCATAAAAATTTTTCACCCACCCTCACGCAAACACATCCGAATCATACAATAAATGTAGTAAGACCTGTGCAAATTCATCTAGAGACATAATTCATGAGAATTCGTATATAAAATCTAGAGTGCATGGTGATTGAGGGTGGGTGGGTAAACATCTTTTTTATGATTAGAATCGATAGAGCTTATCGAGTTCCATCTGGGACAAATATGATCAGAGTTGGAATATATTCGTGTGCGAATCCGTTCAAGAAAAGGTTGAATCCGTGACCAAAATATCTTACATATATAATTTGGGATACTCTGTGTGATTTCCTCAGCAGAAAACAGTTTCCGGTGTTAATTATTCAGTAGAGGGCGCAGTGAGTCTTCTTCGACAAGCGTTACTAGTAGTAACTCTATTGACTTTATTTAATAGCTAAAAAGACATATAGGAGGAAATTTTTTTACGTTGAAGTAGAGTGCTTCTGGAAAGAAAGAGAAATTATATGCATTCTCTTCTATCCAATCTCATTTCCAACTAATGAATGCATCGGTACCTGCTTGGAGACGATTGACATGTTTCTTATTCATTTGTCTTTTAGTAATCATCTTAGTTTTCGTATTGAACTTTGAATTAAATAATAAAATTCAAGAAAATGTTTTTTATAAAACATTATCAAAGAAAATTAGAAAAATTGGTATTGTTATTGTATTAGATGAAAATGCTCAAACTAAATATAAACAATATAGTGAAAATATGAAATGTTATGCCAAACAACATAAATATACATTTATTATTTTAAATCCCAAATCTTATTCGAATTGTTCGTTGATAAAAAACTTTTTTTTTCAAAAACATTGCGCTGTTTTAAATTACATGAAATCAATGATCAATATTCAATGGTTTGCTGTACTAGATGGTGATATTTTTGCTTTCAATAATTCGAAATTAATCGAAGATTTCATTCCGAATAACGCAAATATTCATTTGATTTTCTATGAGCGATTTTATACGGGAGAAATCATGGCTGGGGCGTATTTAATTGAAAATCATCCGTGGTCACATCGGTTTTTATACAAATGGAGTCAATTTTATTTTCAATTACCTCAAATCGGTTATCATAATCATGACAATGGTGCATTACATATGATATTTTTAGAAATGATTGAAAAGCCGGATGGAATCTTGAAGAAATGTCATTTGAAATACCTTCGATCATCAAATGAACAAAATTATTACAGATATCTTCGTTGTTTTCGTTGTGCAATCGGTGGACAAAGACTCTTTGAACATATCCAAGTACTTCGACGTGGCCATGGATTTGCACGAGATTTTCACATTCCATTTATCAACGATTTTCTTCTGCATGGCTATAAAGATGAATTAAATCAATATTTTTATAATCCAACGAAATGCACAACTAATTGGTTAACAAATATCAAAGAAAGTTCACTGATTTCGAATATTGAAATTGCAAAAAACATGACTAAAGCAAAGGATGAGTCTGCAATGAGAAAATATTCGATTTCACTTGGAATTCCTGATGTAACAGATTGTTGGCCAAATTGTGAACAAAATATAACTGGAAATAAATTAGTCAAATATTTAGCTGCCTTATGCAATTAATCCTTCATCGATTATCTAACTGTCAAGAATGAGGATTGTCTTTCCCAATCAGAAACTTACAGATTACAGAAAGTTTTTTTTTTTTATGAACTATTTGTCAAATACTGTTTTCATCAAAAAGCATAAATTTATTTCCAAACTTGAAAGAATGTTCCAAATAGAATCATATGTTAGTTATCATACGAAGAAAAAAGTTGTCAAGGCGTTCAATAGTATGTTTTTGAAAAAAAATCGAACATAATCGTAGCCACCAACGACGAGGAGCTTTAACCAAATAGTGTGCGACTTCATGTTGAAATGTTCCATAAGTTGAAACTATAATATTGTTAACAACGAAATTTCCCTCAAATGTTAATGGTGCATATGCATCATAAAATATTCTTGGTTGAATATTAGTAATCATTACTTGTTCAGGAATTTGCCCATGATTTATTATGTAAACAGAGTCACCTACACGAGCTTCATGTGCAAAAGCATACTGGGGTTGAGTGTAGTTGTGCTTTTTTAGCAGTAAAGAATGCATTGGAGTTATATGTAATGTAGAGGATAATGAAGTTGTGTGTATTTCTAAGTATTCAATTGGTTTTTTCATATTGTAGTATTGATATACATCAACTGCTAAGACAGTACTCCATACAGGAGGTAATTGATATCCTCGTGATACCAATATTCGATCTCTAGCAGCAAGGTTACGCATTAAACAAATTGAACCGTCTTCTTTCAAAACGGTTGTTTCTCCATGAAAACATACGGGACGAGAAGCTAAAAAGAAGTGTAAACATGCAAGATACATATATACAGTTGACTTACGTTGTGCCGGTGTGATTGTTTGCGTCTGTGTTTGCGTAACAGTTTGGATAACCGTTACAGTAGGACGTAAACTGGATGATGCAGACGAATTTGATGCTATGAAATACACAAGATTGTTGATAGTGAATCGTTATAAGATATTTTTTGATACATACGTGGACATACACTCGAATCCGCACGATCTAATGGATAGCAGAGTGGTTGTCCAAAACAACTATTGAGGACACAAACTGTATTATTTTCTGGGCACGACGAATTTTCATCACAGGGACTCAGGTTAGCATAAGAAACTAGATTAGTAGCACACAAGCCAGTCCCGTTTGCCATTTGAAAGCAGACGCAGTTTGCGTTGGCAGAACATCCAGATGAATATGTACCACAGGTCTGCGAAGAACAAGATGAATCGACTATAAGAAGGAAATTCAAGAAATATTTTGACTGATGTTAAAAACATAAATACAATTACCTAGCGCGGTCATAAGCATTAAGTGAAACAGAGACATAACCATCATTTTAAGCCCATAGACTTCCATTTTCTTTGTAACTTGGCACTTTTAAAACAAAATTCGTGGCAAAATGAAAGCTGCTGTGAGCCCTTAACTACCAAGGTATTGTTTTTCTCCCGTACTTTATGCAGCTTATATAATACTCAGTGAATCTCTGGCTATGTAAACAAAGGGGAAAAAACCTTCATGTATTTTCCACCCTTGATTATATTAGTAATATTTTTTCTTTCAACTTAAGTATCACACTACCCACTTTACAGAAATTTCAGATCAAAGTTTGACGACTAAAGAGCTCTTATGATGAAGATCGCAGACATATTGCTTCATTTTCGTTGATCATGAAGAAAACAAAAATTTGGTTTTTTCCCGTCTAACAAAATGAATATAAACAATCGACCAAAAATAAATCTTGCATTATTTGCTTCTATTTGATATACAATTAAGCGACACAGATGGCCACCAACCAAGTCCAGCTAATTACAATGGTCTTGATAAGTTTTTTCATACTTGATTTAGCTCTATATGGTGAATACATATCATACATAAACGCTAGTACTTAGTTGAGTTTTTTCTTTTCAGCTGATGCGACTTGTTACGCTCAGTCTTGTAGCAGTTATACATCCGGATGTTCAACAAATACAAATTGTGTTTGCTTCCAATTAGCTAATGGAACGGGAATGTGCGCAGCACAAACATCAACAAGCAGTTTTCGTGGATGTAATTCTAATTTAACATGTGCAGACAATAGCACTGTCTGTGTAATAAACAGCTGTTTTGGTCAACCGCTATGCTACCCGCTGTTGTATGCAGACTACAGTGTATGTCCGCGTAAGTAAATTAACCCAATAAAGATACGTATTATTGATTAATGCACGTATTCATTCACAGCTTCTGCTTCTACGTTGTCTATGAGTAGTACTCGGTCAACAACGTCATATAGTCAATCAGGTTTGTTGTTTTTACTTATTTTATTTATTTTTGAGCATGGTCGAAGATCATCTGAAGACATTACTCGTGAGATCTTTTAGTGAAAAGCAATTTCCATCTTGAGGATACCGATTATACTGAGTGATAGATTGAAGATATTCCCGACTTCGATATAAACAACATAGTAAAACTCACGTTGATACATATGTCGTATAACTACTACATTCCACAAATCTTATCTATTTTGTTCTAGGTGGCGGTGGTCAGGGTAACGGTGGTCTCAACTTGGGCGAGGGACTAGGAGCAGTCGGTGGAGCAAGTATTGGCGTAGAACTTGGAGTGGGCGCTACAGTTGGAATAGTAGCAGCAGTTGTTGTGGTTGTGGTGGTGGTCGTCATCATCGTAGTTTTACTCCTAATGATCTTTAAACCTTGCTAAGAATATGCTAAACTTGAATCGAAATGTACTATCTTTGTTCCATCGATAAAAGACAAGACACTTCTAATTTTTCTCAATAAAACTGATTTAAATTGATATTAATACAAACAATTATTAATTATAATTAATTACTGACATCATCCTGAGATGAAAGTAACTAATAAACACGTGCAAGATCTGATGAAGTAGACATATTCCCATTTACATTCCATAACTGTAATGAATCAAAAATGTGAACTGATGGTGTGCTCATTATTCATATTATTAGTATTCAGATAGGTACTTGATGGCAAATAATCACTAACTTTATTGATTAGAACAAAACGAAAGAAAAATGAGCTACGCAGGCACACGGCGATTATGGATGTGATCAAACATCGGATTGTGCATCGAGTCAAACATCAATCGATCCATTTTACTAAGATATCCATTTTGAAAATCACGTGCATACATCGATTTTTGATAGGCTAATTTACGAAATCCAATCCACCCATCCTAAAATCAGATATTCCTCTCTACTCGATCAACAATTCCAAAATATTCCGACTACTTTGCATCGAATGCAAATACATTCGAGTGATTTATCATAGACTGCTGTTCCTGGTTGAGTTGATATGGAATTTAATTTGCTGAGAACCGTTTCATCATGAATTTCTGTGAGAAGTTTCAAACGAACAGGTTTCTGGCGGAATAACGTCCGAAGATTGCCCTAGAGATCATCAATGAATTAATGTTTAGATACGAGATATCTTTTGATATTCATACAATTTGATTTAGCGCACGATACAATCGGTCAATATCGTCTACCGTATGATTATGCCAGTCGATATAGAACGAATATTTATTCAGTTTATGGGCTAAACAAAAAAAAATGGAATAACGATTATTCAAGAACATTTCTTACCGTAAGTAATTCCTGTTAATGCTTGTTGTTGCGCATTCTCTCGCGCTTTTGCTGGATCTTCGAGAATTTTATCTAACTGAAACAAGAAATGAAACGAAAACCATTATGCCTTTTATTCATACTAATGAGCAGCCAACATCTGCAGATATCTTCAATAAATCAAACATAGTTATATTGCTTTGTAGTGGAAATGATTGTTGTGACAAGATGGGCCCAACATCAAAACTATAAATGAAAATATATCTAGAAGAAACGGATCATCGAATGCACACTTACTCACTGTTTGGGGCGGATATCCATAATTGACACACCACTGATTTGATCTCCGCTGGCAATAGTGTAAATTAAGGGTGAACTGCCGCGCCATCGAGGTAACAAACTGGGATGAACATTGATTATACCTCTGAAGAATTCAAGAAAATAGCATTTGATATAATTGAACCAAGTTCAACGTACAAAGGAAAAGATTCGATTAATCGTTTGGGCAGCAATTGTCCAAACGATGCCAAAATGCCTAGATCGAATTGCGTAGGCGATTTGGATAGTAGGGCATCAAGCTCAGGCCAAATGTGAGTTCTTAGCTGAAGTTTCTCCGCACCATGCATCACCGTATTGGAAGTGGACGCTGTAGTAACGACCTCTAAGTGTTTGATTCGTGATTTATCATGCGAGAACAAACGATAGAGGTGCTCAAGAATGTGCAGCGAAAAGATATCCGAACCAAAGAACGCGATATTCAATGGTTTGACAGTGGATGTTGAGTACTGATGCTTGAACGAACGGAGATGATGGTGAAAAACATATCGAATGTGAAATATTAGCATTGAATCTGAAAGAAGAGAATGAATTGCACGTTTTGTATTTGTAGGTTCAAGTTTTATCGAAATATCATTCAAGAACATTGTTAACTTTCTCTAGCAAAGCTTTTATTTGAATGATTTCAAATCAATGCTTGTATTAACCTAAACATAAGAAAACCATGTTCAAAATCTCAAATATCAATTAGAAATGATACTAACATAAAGAGGTAAATACAAAAACATGCGAGGTAAAATGGTAATCGAATAATGAATTCCTATGGAATAAAAGTGAATTGCACGAAATCTGAGATCAATCGTCATTTTCATACTCGCATTTTCGCTTTGATTCGAATTCGACTGTTAATTTCCAATGGATCATAGAAACCTATTTGTCCTGGTTGTCGATTTAAACATCTAAATTGTTAAGATGAAGAAAACGATCAAATCCGAAACTAACAGGATATATACTTGTAAGCAAACCAAAAATCGACAGGCACATTGAAGAGAAATAGAAACCAATGGCCACCAAATACGAAGAAAATAGTGGAAATCAAATGCAGTATAAATTCTGGAAGGAATGTCTTCAAAAATAGATGTAGTAACAAATAAAAACACAGACAAATGACTTACTTGATCAAGTTTAGTACAACATGATCGAACATTCAACAGTTCAGTTTCCAGATCAGACAGTGTGATAATCTAGATAGAACGGATGAAAGACTCTCAATTGTGCTCGCAAACAAACGACTTACGTTATAAATATTGATAAACAATAATAGAAGATTATCTATCATCACAAAACCAAATAATAACGCCGTCATGAATATTCGTTTTCTTTCCTTGTCTCTATGAATATATCTAAACTCATGAGAGAATCATCCTTAAGTATCGTTGAATAAAATTCTTTGAATTGAAGTCAAAGAGAAACAAGCTTGGTTATTTTATTGAGTTCAATTTATTTGCACATATACATCTACTATTTGAAGGGAACAAACATCTGACACACAACAATTGAATTCATTGATAGGATAAGAGGAAGAGGAGGGAAAGAAAGAAACATGATCTATCTGATCTTTTTCACAGATATCTAAACTATGATTGGATTTTCTTTTGAAGAAAGTTAGCAACCGGGCTATAATACAACAAAACAATATGTTTTTATCTAGTCTTTTGATTTGTGTTTCAGTGTCCATTTCCATTCGTAACAATAACATCGTCATCATCGTCAACAGCAAGACGTGGGCGTTTGAGGCGTTGTCGTTGTGTTGAACTCGGTGTTGCCACTGAAATACAATCTTCATTGATTGTTGGTGTTGCAGCAGCACCATTCATAACTGAGACAGATCCTGTTCGACTACTTATATTCAATCTAAACGAAAGAAAAAGTCAGATACATTCGTTATTATGTTTTATTTCATATCTACCGTTCTTCTTCGGAGTCGAGTAGTTTTCTATAAGTAGCAATTTCTCGATCGAGGCCGATTTTCGTATCGAGAAGATTCTGATAATCGATCTGCATTTGATCAATGATTTGTTTGAGATTTTGAATTTCGTCATCGCGCTCCATAATCGATTCATGTTGTTGTTGCTGAGCACGATAAGCACGATCCTCCAGATCTCGACAGCGTTGTTCTAATTGCAACATTTTCTCATTGCAAACATCGCGAGCTTTTGTCGATTCTTCAATTCGTTCACGATAGGATACTAAATCAGCACGGTAGTTGTTAATTTGTTCAAGGTGACGGCGATTCGTATTGTATAAATCATCAATCTTCACATCAAAAAACAAATTCATTTTTCACATACATATGCAAAAATAAAGCATCTTACTTTCTTCTCATATTGCGATGCGATTTCTTCTCGCAAGAGAATCATCTCTTGTTCATTCTGTGTGCGTAATTGTTGCAGTTCTTGCAAAATTTTATCGTCATATTGTTGACGAATGCTATCATTATGCACAAGTTCATATGTTTGTTGTTCTTTGATTTGTTGTAAATGCTAAATGAATATATAACTGATTCCATGCGAAAGGAAACGCGAGATTCTTCTACTTACAGTATCATGGACTTGCTGATTGAATTCTAATTGTTCGCGTAGAGTCTTGTTCTTATTTTCAAGATCAACGCGTAATAGCGTTTCTGATTCCAGTTGACGTTTTAATGCCGATACCTGCTTTTCAAAATCGTTGTTGAGATTTTGAAGAGACTAAATACTAGTCGATTAAGAAGATTTCTGTAGAAAAAGCTGTTTTCTTCTTACTTCATTATCTTCAATTTTGCGTTTGACATCAAATGAAATCGCTTCACAGCGTGCTCTCAATTCAGCTATTTCATTTTCATATTGCTTAAAACGAGATTCATATCCACGTGCATCACGCTCCAATCGTGAAAATCTAAAAACGACGACATATTTCATGCAGACTAGATTATCAATATGATCTTACTTTGTTTGCAAGTCCGTATTTTCACAACGGTGTTTCTCAAGTTCAATTTCTAAACGTGATTTCTCATGCGCTAATTCTTCAATCAATTTCTTAGCATCATCTAAAGAATTCCATCAGAACATATGTATGATTTGCAGCTAACAATCATACCTAGTTCACTCTCATACAATGCTTTCACTTTCGATGTTTCAGTTTCGAACGATTGAGCATTTGATTTCACAATCGCCTAGAAAAAAAGATGATCTTATCGAATATTTTTCTGGTGTGTGAATTCAATTTTACCCGTAGTTTCTCATTATCTTGTTCAAGACGTCGAACAGTATCGATAATCACCGCTAAACGATCGTTTAATGTTTGTAACTCGTGTTTTTCTTGTTGACGAGTTATGTTGAGCAACGGTGATGTTGTTAATGAAGATGACGAAGATGCTAGTGAAATACCTGACAAAGTTCGACGTTTAAAACTGCAGCTACTTCCGGATGGAGTGGGTGTAATTATACCCTGATTTTCAACATTAGATTTGGAATTAGTCGCTGCATTGTTCGAATTTTCCTTTGCACTCGAGTCGGACCGAGATGCTGATGCTGTACGGCGATGAAATAACGAGAACATTCGATGAATATCTCTTTGATAATAGCAAAAAAATTTGATGATTATCCTGATAATTTGACTGATGGCTTTTATGAAAGAGAATACACAAAGAACATTGTATGGAGAAAAAGGGTGGCATTTTGATAGGTGCATTCAGATCTGACCATTGATTTATGAAAAAAATTAAACGAAAAACAAATATTTAAAATAGATTAATAGAAATCAATGTTAAAAATAATAATCTTCAAGAATATCAACGGTTAGCATGTGACATCTATCGAAGAATTTCTTCTCGCTCTGAATTTCGCGACATGTGAACTTGTTTTAGAATCTTATCAGACGCTAATGTTCTGTTTAATCAATGAGAAAATTATTCGTATGAACGAACAATTAAACAAATGTGAGTAACAGTAGCACGACATGACAAATAGTGAAAAGACAAGCACACAAAGTCAGTTGAACATGTCAACAAATCATTTCTTATTCTGCTGCTGTTGTTTCTGTTTAACAGCCCAATTATGTAAACGAGCCATGTTGACTTCTGTCGTAGTTATTTGATCTCTACCGATTGGAAAGACGTAGTAATCAATTTATGGGCTCATTTGTTCTCTTACCTTAAAAAGTCAAGATCTTCATCAACTTTCTGAAGAGTACTTTGTGCTGCCTTTTGATTTCCTCGTAATAGTTCATCAGCTTCTTCAAGAGGATACTCCAGCATAACATTAGCACCTAACCATAAACAAACCTAAACATTTCGAGAAACGCAATATGTACGAGAACATGACTACGAGTAAAGTTTTACTTTGTCTGTTGGTGGAATTGTTGCTTTTCCGTACAAATTATGAGCAAGAAGGAAGTTTGTGTCCATATTTGTCTCTTTCTCTCGATAATTACGAAGTTGCTCAATCATATCTACATCAATGATTCGGAGAAAGAAATTCACGCGAAAGTAAAGCGAAATAAATCTTACCTAAACATATCTGAATGTCCGGCAGTTTGCTACGTAAGCGCTTTTTCTTTTGCAATAAATTCATTTCCATAAATCGATATTTGCTATTCAAATCATCCAGTCTAAGAGCAAAATAATTAAAATGCATAACAAATTGCTGATCATATCCCCATACCGTCGAATCACAGTGTCAGCAGAATCATTCTCGGGCTGTTGCATGAAACTATCAACATCTTCGACAAACACTGCATTTGGTATACCTAAATGTTCGCGATCACCTCCGCTAGTTATCGATGTCATCTAAAAATATCGGGTAGACAAAAACACTGTTTTAAACAATCCGCTTATTGCACATGCATTTCGTTTTTATGTAGAAAAATAAATATTAAAATCACATACAGGGATAAATGAAACTGCACATTAGATGCTTATAAATGCTGACGGCGAAAACTAGAATTAGAATAGAAGATGAAGGAACGAAGTCAATAAGAAAAGATACATACCGAATAATGATCTTCGCACGAAAGAACAGACGAATCAGAACAAAAGCAATAAATGGCCAGAGTAATATAAATGCAGTAGCACCACGGCGAAAATTGGCTAATGGTAACCACCAGGATGAAGACTATCAAGAAAAGTATTGTAAATAAATTGGAGACAACAAATGACTTACATCTGTCTGTGTAGTTTTGATTAATTCTCTCTAAAAAGTTGAAATTAGTAAAATATCACGTTAGCTATATGTTCGTCTTCACCTGTTGAAGTAGACATGTCAATGTTTCTAATTGATTGAGCCGTTCTAATATGTTATGAATATCCCGTTGTAGTTTAGTCAGTGCTGTTAGTATTGCACGTTGAGTTTCTTTACTATGATCATTGGGTGAAACGTAACGAATTGATGATGCATTCGAACGATTATTTCTTCCACTGGGATCACCTTGACGGACGGGAACAACTGTTATAACCGTTGATCGTCGCTGTAAAAAGATACATTCTGTATTCAATGAGATTCGTTTTTCGTCTGAATACTTACTGAGTTAGAATCACCGGGTATGATTTCATTATGTGGAGGCACAAGTAGATCGGAAGCATCGTCATAGTAATCATCCATATCTGTAAAATACACTATGAATGAATAGTTCGAAAGTAAATTGAATTACCCTCAAGCAATCTTGACGACGAAGAGGAAGACGATTCTGTAGTTGATGAATGATTGGAATCGCTCTGAGGAGATGGATTTGTTTCTGTTAAATAATTCATAGAAGATTTTCTGTCGATACTATTGAGAGATCGTTCTATACCTTTTACTGTTGTTGTTGGCTCCGAACTGTTTATAGCAATTGTAGGCAAGAACCCCATTGATCGTGAAAATTCCAGAACTTCATCCGTTTGTGGCATCGTTTCCATAATCTGAGAAACAGATGCAAAACTTCGATTTACGTATGATCTCTAGTCTACTTTTCGAATTTCATCAATATATGCTAACATTGCCTGTTCCTTCGTCATTGTTCGGCATCTATCCCATGCTTCCCTAAATAAATTTTCAGATACATCTATGAGATAGAAATTTTTCTTCCTACCATTTCGCTCGACCGACATAGTTAAAAACAGATGGTCGTGCTTCTTTACAAGATCCTAGCAGAGCTTGTTTATATAGACCGTAGAAAATTAATTTCGTTAAGTTCGATGGCTGAATTATTCCTAAGAACAGTCAAAAAGGAAAAGAATTAGTCGGAGTAACAGTGTCATAATTTTTAACCATCTGCTGGAAGATTTTGAATAGTTGTAACAGCTCGATTGAATCGCTCTTCCAAATCCGTCGATGAAGCCATTAGACC